TTTGAGAGAAACCTAAAGTCTTGGAAAGATTTCTACGATCTAGCTGCTCCCCATGAGAATCAATTTCCAACTCCGTATGAAAATATTAGAGGAATACCGAAGCTTATAATTTTAAGGTATACAAGGATTTCTTGAACATTTTGGAATATGCGATTAAAATCAAAAAATGGATTTATGGCAAAACAGTCCGTTGACCACAGTCTAATTTAAATTACCTATATTATTTTTAGATGCATTCGCCCCGATAAGCTGATCCCGTTGGTGCAACAGTACGTGATCGAAGAGATGGGTCGTACTTACATAGAACCTCCACCTTTCGATTTGGAGAAGTCTTATAATGACAGCAACTGCTGCTCCCCTCTCATCTTTATCCTTTCCGCGGGTTCTGACCCTATGTCGGGACTGGTTAAGTTCTCTATGGAGAAGAAAGTCGTCAGTTTTGAGACCATCTCTTTGGGACAAGGACAGGTTAGTACGTCAGTTACTTAACCATTGTTTTTTTTATGCGTTTAGTTTTCGGGAATCAGTAGAATTAAAGGTAAATTCTCAACTGCAACACGTTGTACTGTGCACTAATATTTTCGTATCCATTATCTAGCTATTTCGAAACATAGACTTTTCTAAGTAAGTCTCCAGTCTTGTGGTTCTTTCGTTGTTTCAGGATTTCTCAATACAAGTGCTATAGTTGCTACTTAATTTGGGATCAAAGCAATGTATGACATGTTTATTTGTTGATTTGTACAAAATGAACCTATGATTAATTTTAGGTCTTTAACTGTCGGAAGTAGTGACGGTTGTTATTTCACTGGTTCCATAGTGTTCATGTGATATGTACAGGGTCCGATCGCAGCAAACATGATAAACCAGGCGATAGTGACAGGTGGGTGGGTGGTACTGCAGAACTGCCACGTCATGGAATCGTGGATGGGTGAGCTAGAGCGCATCTGTGCGGAGGTGATAGTGCCGCAAGTTACGCACCATAACTTCCGATGCTGGCTCACTTCGTACCCAAGCCGCGCTTTCCCTGTTACCGTACTGCAGAATGGTATGTTTAAATAGATATTTTTTGCTGAATTTGTAGGCATTGAAGTGTTTTTTTAGGGGGTGGTAAAGAATCCATATTAAATGTTTAGTGAATCCATTCAGTAGTTAAGCCATGAAATTAAAGAAATGAAATGGAAATATCTTTATTCAAGTAAGCTTGTTACAAGCACTTTTGAGTCGTCCAAAAAAATTTTTCCCTCTACCACTTGTTCAAGACGTCTTTTAGCTAACAAGAAGAACAAGCGAAAGAACTTACCAGCTCTTTATCACAAGTAATGACATTTACAAAATCATGTCATTACCAAAATTATATGTATTATCACAATAATAAACACAACTTTCAAAGTCTGTAGGTCATAGTTTGTGCATATAATTAGTCGTTATAGAACAAAGCGAAAGCTATTAACTCCATGCATTGCGGTCCTTAAAATAATCATCAACTTTATAATAGCCTTTACTCATAAGTATATTATTTATATGAATTTTAAACTTATTTATAGGTAGGTCAATTATATTTTGTGGAACTTTATCTACATGATAACGAATACACACTTTCGAGTTCATAAATTATGAATTAAAGGTTAAGATAAGACACATTACGCATAAGTAATCCAAATTCTCAATGGAGATGAAATAAAACGAGAACTTCATTATTGATAATGAATTCTCGCGTGATGGTCTAGATGAGAATCATAGAGGGCATCTCATTAATTAATTCCTGATGTGACAAATTGTAATATTCTTATTTAATATACCTAACATAAGTAACATCTAGGTATGCTACTTTCAAATGTATTTTACTTTCAACCTACAAAGAATTTTGTATTCCTAACGATGCTCTGACTTACAGGGTCGCAGATTATGACATCTTTACCTTTTATTTTTGATAACGCAGAGGAAATATACCTCAAGCCTCGACTCAGGGCTCCGCAGCCACTCCGCCCTGAAAAGGGCAGGTTGAGTGCGACTGACCTACCCGATAAAACCTGCTGTGGTTCACCTCACGTGGTTAAACTGAATCCGGTATCCTGCTGTTTATGGCATCTTTACTTATTTTTTTGGAAATCCAGGGGAATTGCACCTTACGCTTTAAACCAAGGCTATCCGACCCCCCACCCGTCCTGAAATGGACAGACTTAAGTGAGACCGACACACCGGCCAAAACTTGCTGCGAGTTTCCTCTTGGAGGAGCGGGGGGGGGGGAAGGACCCGGGAGCCAACGAGGAGCCCACTCAATCTTATAATTAAATCTGACCTTAAATTAACTGTTTGTTTTTCTTTTAAGGAGTAAAAATGACCAATGAAGCTCCCAAAGGGTTAAAGAACAACATCAACCGCTCATATATTTCGGACCCGATATGCGACCCGGAATTCTACATATCTTGCCCTCGTACTGAAGAATGGAGGCGGCTGCTGTTCGCGTTGTGCTTCTTCCATGCCATCGTGCAGGAGCGCCGAGCGTTCGGCCCTCTCGGTTGGAACATACAGTATGAATTTAACGAGAGCGACCTCAAAATATGTATAATGCAACTTCAGGTTAGTATTATCATTAACAAAAAAAAAACCGACGTAAAAAATATTATTATAACAAAACATATAATTACACGAGTAATATGGAATATAACAACGAAATTTGACGCAGACCCAAACAACAAACAGTTTTATGGCAGCGCTGTATTCTTTACTAAAAATATCTAAATCCAATATGGCGAACCATCCAAGACGACGGACTCTCATAATATTGAATGGAAAGGTTTCGCTGAGAGTATCATCTAAATAGCACCATTTAAATAGAGCTGGTCACTATTATTTTTCTGAAAATAAAGTTTGATCTCATTATTTTAAATTTTAACTCTATCTATCATAACGTTGACTGACAGATAATGTCCAAGGCATTATTATATAATAGGGATGATGACTGGGTAAAAAAAATGCAATTCTATTTAGTCCGTCAGTCAGATAATAGAAAAATATTAGATACGTATTTTTTTTACTTCAATTTAACAAGAAATAGTATAGATAACAGGCATTAAAGTTGAGGAGTGGGGGCTCGCTACGTCACAGTCGAGTAGAAAACGTACTCTAACGTGACGTCATGCGAAATTTCAACTCAATGTAACGCCGTAATTTTATGATTACGAAAAAAATAAAAAAATACGTGTTGAATATTTTTTAACACTCTACCTGACGGACAAACAAACAAAAATTAGTCATCATCCCTATTCCGCATTTGTATCTAATGAAATGAATAAATGGTTAAATAAATAACCTATCATGTACTTTCTCTTGTGCGTTAACATCTACTAATTTTCATTGGGCCCGTGTGGTGAGTCATGGCACATTCTTCCTATTGGATATGATTCGATTCCATGCAAGAAGTCCCAGCATTGGGGTCATTAATAGACCGGTGATAGTGATGATGTATTAATGATATCGATTCTGATATAGATGTTCTTGACCGAGTATGATGAGACCCCGTTCGAAGCGCTGAACTATTTGACTGGCGAGTGTAATTACGGCGGGCGCGTTACTGACGACAAGGACCGCCGCCTCATAATGTCGCTGCTCTCCATCTTCTACAACGACGAGGTCACCTCCGATCCTCAGTCAGTATCTGTACATTTCTTCTACAGAGTATATAGTTAGCGCGCTTTGGTTCGCTATCTTATGACGTCATAAGCGGGTATATTTTGTATCCAAATTACGAAAGGTTAAGTTCTTGATTGATTATTCGAATATTTAAAAAAATATCGTATTTCTAACGATTCTCTGACTTACAGGGTCGCAGATTATGACATCTATACCAAAACATAAGCGTTTTTCCGTTAATGCTACGACTTTTTAGATATAGCTAAGCTACCATCTGTCTAAGTCTATATCTTTTACTTTTTGTATTTTAATAAGTGTTTTAATTGATCTTTACTTTTTAAACAATATGTTAAAAACGTTTTAATGTACTTACCGGTTAAAACAACGAAAATTGGGTCAGTTTAATTAAAAAACTGTTACAGGGATCTAGGAGGAAAAGGGGAGGGATGGGAAATGAAATTTCTCGATTGTAATAACTATCCGACCCTAGGTCGTTGTCCTGGTCTTAATATGGACGTGTGTTTTTTGTTAGATACTCATTCTCACCGAGCGGCAACTACCGCATGCCTCCGAGTATGGATTATAACTCTGTGTTGGAGCACATCCGCGCTCTACCGCTGATAGCCAAACCGGAGGTGTTCGGTCTCCACGACAACGCTGACATCACCAAAGACAATAAGGAAACGGCTCAGGTAGTCAAGTCAAATAGGTCTCCTTCATTTATATTAATAAAATTTAGATAACACAACAACTACATGACGCAGTGGTTCGTGCATTCGATCTGCGATTGACAAGGTTGGACAACATTCGCAAAGGGCAGACGCCGGATGGGTGACCAAAATATATTATCAAGCAGGTTAAGCCCTTGGTCCCAGCTGCGTCTACGCTCAGGGCATGTATTCGGCTAATCTTATATAACAGCCGTGAACTTGACGTCGAGCACGGTTTTATCACAGCATAGAGCTTCAATGAAATGAAATCTAGATACTTAAAAAGGTAATAAAGGCTTTAAGCCATTGGTTTTAATTCGCTTCGAGAGCGCTGTGATCAGCATCGAGTAGCAAAGCTAAGCTATGGCTTGTTCTTCTTCTTCAGAGATGGAGATATAAATAGCCTGTGGTGATGATGATGAAACAAAGCTCCATAGGTACACAATGGTTAATTACTTAGACGTACATTGCTATGGAGGCCATTTGGTGGTATTCTTGGATATTTCAGTCCTATAAAGATAAGATAAATATAATGTATTGTGTTATTATACTGAACAGCTTCTGTTCGGGTGTCTGCTGACTCAAACGTCCATAGTAGCGGGGGGAGGGGGCGAGGGCGGCGGCGAGGGCGGGGGCGTGGTGGAGCTCACCAGGGACATGATGTCGCGTCTGCCGCGTCAGTACGATGTGTTCGAGGTCTCACAGAAATACCCCGTACAGTACTACAACAGTATGAACACTGTGCTCAAACAGGTGATACTCATTAATACCTCTTTAATCTCTCGATTGCGATTCACAAGTAGTTGCCAGTTCATTATATTTTATAACCCTTTAATCATCAATGCGGGAAAAACTTCCTTCTACTTACTTTCTCAATTCTGGTACGTTTTGGGAAACTTTAATGCAGTACCTACTCGTATGTGTCCACCAGCCTCGCTGTTTATATGTAGGACAATATTATATTAAGTATACAATACATTACAGTACGTCAATACATTGCTTGAGATCCTGGCATCCTGGCTACTAATATAAGTTTTATGGTATTAAAAACAATGAAGGCACCACAGCCAACTAGTTCTAAGAAAAGAATTTTCTATGATGACCCGGCCGGTATTCGAGTACGGGACGTCCTTAATGACAGTACCTCGAAAATGCCACTCTAACATAACGTTCTGGACTACTGAAGCAGCTACGAAATAGAAATCTATAATAGTCAACAAAGAATAATTTAAACAGATTAAGAGTAGTTTTATATCTTGCTAGGATAAAACTGAAATAGAGAGACTTACGGCCGGTTTCTGAATTGAGAAAAGTACAAGATCTCAACTGATTATTCTCAATATCTTAAGTTTTTTACATTTTACATGGCAAGTCTCAGTTTTATCAGACTGATATTAACTGATGATGATTTAAAAAATTAAAATCATAAACGAAAACCTCTTTCAGTGACCTTTAATATGGTTTGAGGCGTGCTCGACTTTAAGTTCTCGATTCAGAAACCTGGTGTTAGTTTAGGAAAAGTTAAAATAAACAAAGCAAGGCTCTTGCAGGAGCTGATCCGGTACAACCGGTTGCTAGCAGTGGTTCGACGTACACTGCACGGTGTGCACATGGCGGCGCAAGGCCTGGCCATCATGAGCGCTGAACTGGAAGAGTGCAACAACGCCTTCGTAAAGGGTATAGTGCCTGGCGCCTGGAAGTCGAAGTCTTATCCCTCTATGAAATCCTTAGGGTCGTACGTCGCCGACTTTTTGTCGAGGTTTGTGCTAGTATTCTTTTAAAATCTAAGAGTAATCAAATGTTAATGCCACAACTACTCAGTTATACGTGTTTCTTAATTCAGCACTTTGAACAACACTGACACGTAGTCACTAAACATTCCAATAGTCCAGCCATGCTAATCTGTTAAAAATTGTACTCGACGTCGAGCTCGGCGCTATCACAGTATAGAGCTTCAATGAAATAAAACTTTTACTACCTTTTCAAGTATTATTTGGTAATACACTGTTTGATTGCACGTCTACACGGTGACCGCTCAAGGGCCGGCCCGTCCATATTGGCAAGCTAAGCAAATCATATCAAATCAAAATTATTTGTTCGGTTCTTCTCGGCACAAGGTCTCCCGCTGTACTTTTACTGCTCTTTTTTGTAAAATACTGCGCGACGCTCGCATTTAGGGGGGGTGCATGGTATGGCGAACAGGTTACATTTTCTTTAATTATTTGAACCTTAAAAAATATTTTCGCAACAACGTCATTTTATAGTGTGCTACGAATCAACGCCATCTATAGACGTTTATGCGAAAATCCATTAAATAGCCTAAGTGTTGCTCACTTACGGCATTTGGCGCCGGCTCAAGACAATATAGCCCGACTTAGAACGGTCACAATTTGTTTTACGAAATGAGGCATCCGCATCCGATCGGTGTTTATAGAGAAAAAATATAATGTTATGTTCGTATATTTATTTTATCACAACACATTAAATATACCTACAGCATTATGTATACACGAGTGTATACTATTAAATACATTTTGTACTCAGTCTGTCCTTGTACTGTTCAATGCTGTCATAGGCTACATTTTTGCATTATATAAACAACAAAAAGTAAAATGGCAAGCAGCTATGACAGTCATAAAAAGTTTAAGAAAAACAGATAACGATTACACTACTAATTCCAAATATAATACTTAATCAAGGATGACTCCTTCACATATACACAAATATCAAAACCATGGCTAACATAGTTACGGTACAATGTATATTCAGTTGTCTTCCTATGTGGACCCCTCAGCAAATTGACCTTACCAACATCAGAGTTAGGCCATGTCAGTCAAATACATACATTTTTTTTGGTCACTAAAAGCTACGTGTAGAAACATTGTGCAGAATCAACCAGCGTCTACCTTATATCGTTATAAAGTCGTGTGTTGAGTTGAGTGACTTAAACATTCTAGGAACTGAATATAGCATATTAATACTGACATGTTCTTGACACATTGAAGGCTAAATCTATTTTCTCGCGAATAATTTTGATGTATATCAGAAAAGTTCATCCTTCCGAATTCTTAACCAGGTCCAGAAGTTTATTCATAAGCTCGCCTCCGAAGGATTCCCTGTACTTTTGACTAATACTATTGAGTAAAGCGTATGGTGTTTCATAATTCATATTCTCTATGGTAGAGAGAGCAGTGTCGTCGTACTTTCTGCCTACTACTCTGAATCCGGCAGCGGACATCTCGATGCAATAGTCAGCATTTTCAAGAGTGGTCAGGTTGATGAAGATACGCTGGTTGTTGTTCTTGAGTTGGGTGGATATGTTAGCTGCTTTCACGTGCTTTCGGATGTCGTTGATGGCGGATTCCGCTTCTTGGGGCCACGTGTCCTTGTCCAAAACACGATCAGTCATCATGGCTCTGCAGACGAATAGAAACAAATATATAAATCATGCATTTAATGATACAATTATTAACTTCCATTTGCATTGGTCTAAACAAATTCAATGGCTAAATGGAATCCCCTGTTTTTGATAGTCTTTATGCGGAAATAATTTATTACGCTATTAATTTCTATGTATTTATTTATATTTTCCGCGTATGAGCTGTCGCGAAGCACCATCTATCTTTCTCTCTATGTTATTTAACAAATGGAATGGAAGCGGAGGAGGCAAATAATTTTAGAAATCTTTGTATGAAAATATATGAACCTCCCCACATCAGCAGTAACCAAATCGTCAGAATTCTTATGTCACCTGCCTCTCATCCATTTTCATATTCGTTTCGTTTGCCTTTAGGCTCAGATTCAGAGGCGTAACTATTGCCGTTTAACCGTTCAATTATACGGAGCTGCCGGGCTACAGGGGTCCTAACTAATTTTGATATAGGGCACCTCTAAGGCACGCTACCATACTGTTCGTATTGATGTGCTATCAGTCATATTTATACTAACTAAAGACTCCCCTGTACAGGTTCTAGTAGAAGTGTTTACAATGGAAATCTCGTGATTTCATTGAGTTACAATGACCACAATACTGCATCCCCATAGGTTAAAATTCCTACAAGACTGGATAGACGAAGGCCCCCCTCTCGTGTTCTGGATCTCGGGCTTCTACTTCACGCAATCATTCCTAACGGGAGTGCTGCAGAACTATTCGCGCCATAACAAAATACCGATCGACCAAGTTCACTTCGAATTCACCATCACCAGCATGGAGGCCGAGTGTGATGAGCCACCGGAATTCGGAGTGTATTGTAAGGTAAAGTGATTTATTTACGCTTTTGCTGTTATTGTTGTGCCCAGCAGGTACCATAGTGAGTCTAACTAAACCTAAATATTTTATACTTATGGGTAAAACAACAAAGATATTGAGATACTCAATTGCTCGCAACTTCGTATATATGTGAACTTTTGAATCCTAGAATAGATGTCTAGCCATTCTATTAGGTATTATCTATATCATGATAGCTAATGAAAATTTGGCACTTAAAACCTCTTCTAGTTTTATAAGATACCTAGTTTCTGGGATTAAGTTTACTACAACATCAGGCCCGGATCTAGGGTCGGACGCTAGTAAGGGGGTCAGGAGGACGCAAAAAAATATAAGATAATATAATACAGATAAAAAAAGAAAATCATAGACATACCTGTAAATTATTTAATAAATATGTGCGTGGAGGGGGTTAAGGTGCACAATATTAAGTTTCTGCCCCGGTTGGAAAAAGTTTTAGATCCGGGCTTTTTTTTTACTGTTTAGCATGTTTCCAGATATCAGTTAATTTATAAATTACACTAAAATTTATTACAAGCAGCAAACTCAACCTATGGATAAGCAGGACCAGGAACATAGTTTTTTTGCTTGGGTGAGTAGTAATGGGCAGGATTTGTGTGTTTATATATCACTCACAATGGCTTTTTAAATCTTGGAATATTAGAAAATGCAAATAAGATAGATCAACTACTTCAGATGGGTTTAGAAGAGATACAAAGCCAGGTGTTCGGGGCTACTGCTATCCTGACAGATCAACCAAAGATTATTAAAATCTTATTAAAACTTGTTGGATTAAAATTTTTAGTGTAGATAAAACAAGCAGTGTTATATAATAATATTTAGATGTTTATATCTTTAATTTGCATCTTTTTTTACATAATAATTTCTAATGGAAATTAATATTTTTGCATGATTGTTTTGCAATTGCATGTATATTATAAATAAAGGATACAATGCTGAACATAGGGGACGAAGAAAGCAGGCAGAGCAGCTTAAAACAAGGGTAAAATTAAGGGCTCCACTCAGGGCCAGGCAATTCATGAAGTGTCTAGTATTATTTATGCCATTTTCATAAGTTGCATTCTTTATAGAATAAAAAATATAACAAGAATTTTATCAACAGGGCTTATTCTTGGAAGGAGCAAGGTGGAATCGTGAAATAATGCAATTAGATGAGTCATATGCCAAGATTCTATTTGACACCATTCCTATAATATGGTTCAAACCTGCATTGATATCCAACTTCAACCCTCCTCCGAGTTACTTCTGTCCAATTTACAAGACTAGTGAAAGGAAAGGTGTTTTAGCAACCACCGGTCACTCGAGTAACTTTGTTATGTACATCACTCTTAGGTCTGATATACCACAGAAACACTGGATAAATCGTGGTGTAGCCAGTTTGACCCAACTTGATGATTAACTGTAGTATCAACCTACCTTACCCAACATCAAATTTTATTTATAAACTTTTTAATATAAAACTGTGATAAGTCTAGTCACTAATAAACAATTTTATCCTAACCTTGTTTTATTTCATATCATTTTACTACATATTTAAATATATAATTTGTAATAATGTTAATAAATTGATAAAATTTAGTATCAAATAAATTTAAATTTCGCGCTTTATTAATTTATGTGACAATACTTACTTTTTTGCACTATCAGATATACAAGATAAATTCGAAATTAAAATAAGTTCTTGTTAATCCTACTTCAAGATTAAAATATATATTCAAACATTTGTCAAATAATCCCGAAAAACACTTATGACACCACAAACAAACGATGACGTCAATTTTTTATTTTTTAATATAAAATAATATGTCCATACAGCCATGTTAAGCTTTTTTCATTGTTCTGTAATGCTAACAACGAGGAAGTATTTAAAAAAAAAAATTGTTCCCAAAATCTAACTAGATGTCGCCACGGTACGTTCTTGAGTTCTCCATGACAATGGTTCCGGTTTTCTTTCATGTTTAAAAGTAAATTAGTTTTCAAAACTCAATAAACAGTTCATATTCTATTTGTACTTTTTCGTATTTGTATTGATATCTAAGAGTCGAACTTTTCAAATTTCAGTTTTTAATATGTTAGTTAATAGGAACGGAAATGACTGTCTATCATCCATACGTTTCCTGCAAAAATCAACTTTTCTAGCTAGAGTCGCCATCTAGTGGAGGTGCTTTTTTAGTACTTTCGTTTTTTTGTAATATTTCCTCATTGGTCAAACGGATGGATATAAAACTGTAATTGCATTACAAGTTATATACATTATAAAAACAGAATCAAACTATCTAGTCTGATAGCTGCGTAAACTTAGTTTTCTTAAAAGCCGTCCACACGGTAGAGAAAATCTGAGTTTCGACCAATGTAACCTTGATTGTTGGCAACCATCTGGAAGGAGTTGTTGGAACAACTTCGTCATGACCTTCGACACACTTGGTCTACGCGTACCGTATCGGAGTGTTGCTACATAAAATAATAACACACAATTACGGAATTGGGAGTAGTGATTAATTATATGTTCAAATTCTAAACATCACAATAGGTATTTGCAAAATTTATTGGGTTTCATTTAGGCTGGTTTTAGTATCACGCTGACCGTCGGCACTGACAGGCCAATATGTATAGGCTCTATATAAGCGATCTATAGTTACTCCGACCGATCAGCGCTGATGAGCGTCGGCACCGCGGAGCAGTCAGCGCTGACCATCGCATGCGCGTCTCTGTCTTGAGCAAGCGTTCCAGTGTCGAGCTTATCGGACACCATCAGCATCCAGCGTGTATAGTCATGTAGAATATATGAAGGTATACACAGGAGAAATATATGAATGTATCTGATCCACTCTACAAAAATAAAGATACCAGAAATAAGTCCTACTGCATCGTGGTAATCTATCATTAAACTTTGCCATTAATTAGAGGGTCAAACAAAATGTCTTGTTAAAAAGCGAAAGTAGTTAAAGGATTTGTTATCGTCGTCCCTTTCAATAATATTCAAACAGTGTCAACTGGTTGAACAATGTCACAAACTAGCAATCTTTTAGAGAAAGTGGATGAACATGTATTCTTCTTTTTCGTTGTCGTTGTCAGTTAAACATATTTTCCCTAATGAAAATGCTTAAAAATTCCACTTTGTCCCTGGCTTTGTCTCAGATAGGACTCGAACCCATGACTTTTCGTTATCCGAGCGACATTTTAAGCATTTTTCATTAATAATATTTTCCCATATAACATTGTGTATGCAAATTTAATCAAATATAATAAATATTTTTCTATTAAATTATCTTTATTGGCTTATCCATTTTTCAATATTCATTTAAAATTATAAAACTCATAATAGCCAATTTTTTTAAGTAAAACAAATGCGATTACCTTTTTTATATATAGTGATGTCTAAATTTCTTTAAAAATATATAATAATAATAAATTGAACAAAAACTGCATATCTTTATAGACTGTAAATTTAATTTTCTTTAGTCTTTGTAGTAGGTAGCACTACTAGTTCCGGTGAAGGTTACTTTGGTCTCGGTTGGTTAGTTGGCAACTAATCAACCAAAATCTCGGTCGGAGTTTAGACTTACTATGGTGTGGACAGCATTTAAGAGTAACACTCAACCAATAATAAACTAAATAAAAATAAATAAACTAAATAGGTATTGCACCTAATTTTAAAACAACAATTAATAACAATCTCGTATGTTTTTATAGATAATTGAAAATATTAATTAAAATTGTGCTATGACAATAATATTACGACTTCTTCATGGGAAAAGTATTGTAGCATGCGTATAATGAAACGTAGCATATTTTGATTTGTTAGTATTTTGTGTAGATGGCGCATCGAACTTGTAAACTGCGTATGCCGATCTGACGTTTTTGGTTATTTTTGTTCTCGCCTCGTGTTTACTTTACTGTCTAATTTCGGTACAATTGCGAAAATTCTGTTGTGCAACACTCATATGGATAATATTTTGTTCTTAGACGTTATTGTTTTGTGGAATAGTATCGATCCATAGTTCCAGACTAGATATATGTATACAGTTCTATCACGTGGTGGTGTGGTGGTTTATATAATTCTTGTTTACCGCACAAGTCGAAACTTTGCGCATGTGCGTTCCGTTAGTAACCTCAAATTGTAGAATAGGCACGGATTCGGCAGGCTCCGGATATCCGGGTCGCGACGCGAAGGCGGCGGTTCTCGCGGCGGGTTTGTGATGTGCCCTCGTGCAAGTCGTACACGCCCCGCGAGTGGACAGCATTGGTGATACAGTACGCGTGTGCCTGAAATGGCCCAGACTCAGTTCACGCGGAGCTCTGAGAGCGACGCATGGGCGCTCCTATCCCTGAAGTCGGCGCCCTCGTCGCCGTCGAAGGTGCAGTGGGCACAGGAGCCGGCCCCGATTGCTATCGCACGCCTCGATGGACGTGATTTTGAGTACATCATACGACAAAAACGAGTAGTGATAGGCCGGAATTCGAGTCGTGGTCAAGTGGATGTCAACATGGGACACTCTAGTTTCATATCTCGCCGGCACTTGGAGCTGTTTTATGACCACCCGGAGTTTTACCTGACGTGCAACAGTAAAAATGGCGTGCTAGTGGACGGTGTGTTCCAGCGGAAGGGTTCCGCCGCGATGCTGCTTCCAAAGAGGTAAGTTAGTTGTCTCGTAAACACGAAGCGTCATAGATAAGGACAGGCGCGTCCATTTACATTTACCCATTAGCTGTATGTTTGTAAACAAACTTTTTGTTTATCATCTACCCACCTGTATTAGAATAAATGAAAGAAATGTGAAGTTTCATTACTTTATCTGGCTTACTTTTTTATATGGACCACATTATTGTTTTTATTTAATTTGTTGATGATCAACAATCTATTTCATCTGTCATATTTACCTTCTACTTATCTGTGAGTAAGAAGGTATTAATGTGTACAGGTTTGATTCTGAATATCTGATTAGGTTTTAATGCTTTTGGTTTTTTTTCTAAGTATTCAAATATTTCTTTATACAACAACAAACAACTAATATTTACAATTACCTTAATATCAGTTAATGATAAGAGACCAAAACAAATACCATTTGAATGATGCAATATAAAGAAATACATTCATCCAATTAGATTACACTATAATGTGAGGTGAATCATAGTGATGGAAAACTCTTCCAATGAAATTTCTGCTTGTTGTAGGTACTTTACTTTCAGATTTTTGGTATTTAAGTTGAGATCTGAATAATATATATGATGTTCTTTTTTTTACTTTTTATTATTATTTTAAATTCTAACTAAAAAGTGATTAAATTTAAATGATATAGGTAATTTGGTATGATCAATAACTTTTGAAGTATTCATACTAACCTAAAACTCAGTTTAAACTTTGACAGTACTATTAATGAAGGTACATCAGAGTAAATATACACTAAAATTGCAATTTTAGTATTACTCCAAATCCATATTATACAGAGAATAAGCAAATCTACTACCTTCTAGGAATAAATATCACTGCCATAGAAGTTCATACTAAGTCAGTGCAGTCTCAGCGTAATGTTACTACTAACAATTAAAACCAAAATTCTACTTGAAATTTTTTCAAATGAAGTTTGATGTAACTGATCAATGTGTTTTTATATGTAACGGCTAAAGATAGATGACTGTTCAATTTAAAGTTTGTGATCACAACAAAATAATAAAGTTCAAAATAAGTACCTCATTTGTAAGCCAATTACATAACAACATTTGAATGATGTATTAAATATATTATTCTGGCCTCATTGATCTTTGCAGTTGTAAATACCTATTACTATGTCAGCGATTAATGCATAAGACTGTTTACTTGTCTATATGTGTATGGGGTCATTCAACTATTTATGTAGCACTGTTTTAAAAGTAAATATTATTGTTTCTCCTGAGTATTTTTAAATGATATTCACATTTTACAAAAGTAAATCAATTTCTTATAATTCCATCTCGGGGTGCCAGGGACCCCGAGATGGAATTATAAGAAATTGATATATAGATATATGAAGAATATTTTCTAGCATAGCATTGTGAATGCAATATTGATCCAATATAATAATTCTATGTTCTTGTTCTTCTTCCTTCAACGGGCGTCTCCGCAACTCATCAACCAAATTGCGCCTATTTTGCGTGTGGAGGTTGCTCTGGTTTCCCTGCAAAACGTATAAATCTTTCGCCTTTTAATTCTATGTTTATTCAAACATAATAGTATCAAATGTTGCTCCTGAATTTATTTTATTTTATCAATTTGTTGATGATCAACAATCTAATAGATATATAAGACATATTAATACATATTAAAATAAGCACCTTATTACTTATTCTTAATTGAATGGTTTTCATCAGAAATTGTTGAAAAGATTGGCCTTTTATTGGTCTATGCTCGGTGCTTATAAATATTGGCTCCTATTGTTATTGCAAATTTAAATGCAGTTAAAACTTTCTAATAAGAATGAGCATTGATAAAAATTAGGTTACTTATTAATATTATACTAATCGTCTCTGATTCACAATTATTCAAGTCGGCATAATATTTTCAGTCTTAACAATTGTTCTATACCTCATATTTAGTCAGACAATCTCTCAATGTTCTATCAAATGGTGAAACTTGTATGTAAATCCTATTATTGTTCATTACAATTTGTTTTTCTTCCAATGATATCATTTTAATGTGTAAGTTTTAGCCAGCAAGGAATTATCTTAACAATGTTGAAAGATATAGTGCATTTGTTTTAATACTCTCAGGTTCAGATGCACTATTCTTTTAGATGCAGAGTTGAGGTATTATTTATTTATTTATTAACACTAACACTATTACATATTGATATAAAAAAAATCAAACTAATTTTTACTTATGAAAAGTACTTTTGAATCATCCAACATTATCTTCCTACCTCGTTCAGGATGTATTATATAGTTCCACAAAACCATGTAACATGTTTGACTTTGGGTGCAGTGAGTCTCTTTAATGGCTGCTGTAATTGTTCACTGAAAGAATGTTAAAAAAAAAACAATTATATTTGTGAAAACACACAGTATGTGTACTTATATTCACTATGCATGTTCATTTGCTGCATTTGCTTACTGTACAGCTATGAACTGTATAGGTTATACTAGGACTAGGATGTCATGAGATCTAGATGTTAAGTACATAAACATAATATTCACAATATCAAACACATTAGTGTATCTATGTCACACATTCTATGATCGTGGCTCACGTGACCTTGCTCTCATAGTGGCGCTTTTCATTCTCCAAGTGTATATAAAAGTAACTTCAATTGTTTCTTCATATAACTCCAGCTTTCATTTAAAAATTACTTCATAAATTAACTTATAAAAAGGTTCTGTTTGAAAAAAAAAAAAAAAAAAACCACTGAATGATCTCTGAAGTATATATTTATCTTCTAAATTAGATTAAAATACCTAGAACTGTGGTGTTAATTCCCATACAAACAGTAGGTTATAATATTGTTGTGTTATTTTTTATGTTTTTTGATATTCTATATAAATTACAGACTTGAAACAAACTTCAAATTAAAATTAAGATTAAACATTTTCTAATTTTTAACATTTGTTTAAAGCATAGATATTAGAAATTAGTGAATCACATATCCAATAATATTAGCTATTCATAAGATCATTGAGATTTCTGGGAAGAAGTGAGAGTATGTGAGTCAGCACCTGCCTCCACCCCAGTGATAGGCGCTTTTCTTGTCATCATCGACGATTGGGTGGTATAAATAATATCTTTGGATTTTAGGTATACTTCGTCCTTTAAACTGCTCAGTTCTCATGGCACTCCCCTATCCTCCCTGAGTAGGTTCATCCGTTCCCAGGGGAGAGTCCTACACACTAACGTCGTAAATTTGTTAATATTCGTATCTTATTTTAAAGTGTTTATTTTAGAATTAATCTAGCGATTGAATTGCCAAATGTGCACCAAATCAAGCATTTTCATGTACCAACTTGTAATTTTTCCGTGCGTATTTAGGTGTCGGTGTTCGGAATATGGGTACCACTATTGAAATAATTCTTAGAACAAGATAGGATAAGATGCTGGAACATAATATTGTAAAAATTGGAATTTGTAAACCGAAATAAATATTAATAATAATAATATTACGAGGAAAATAAACCAGATTTTCTTCTCGGTTCCTCGTAGAATCGAGGAAGGGGAAATGTTATCATTATTATAATGCATGTTGTAAGGAATTCATTATTTGTGAGCGTGTCCGACCTGCCCTGCGATTCTGTTAAAAAAACCAACCCAAAATTCACCTGGACACCTGAAAGAATTCTCTGCCGTTCTTGCCTGATTTTTATATTTTTACGCTTTCAGTTTTCTCATTTTTAATTATAGATTATTTGGACTTCATTTGTTTTTTCAATTAAAAAAGGAAATATTTTGAAAACTCCGTAACTTTTTAAAGTCCTGGGGCTTGAAAGTATCATTGAATAAACTGTATTACCTATATGATCTCTCCAAGAGTTGCGATTAATTTTTACAATGAAGGTTCTATTTAGTTTTATAAGCCGATTATTATCGCTGATGTCTACGCCGCTTATTCAGAATACGACGTTATATTGGCCATGTAGAATTTTATGCGTTACTAGCTATTTTCCCGAGACTTCGCCTTCGTAAATTACAATATATGTCACCCGCCTATAATGAAGCTTCCTGCAGGTGAAAGAATTTTTGAAATCGGTTCAGTGGTTGCCTAGCCTATTCAAAAGTAAACAAACAGTCGAATCTTTCCTATCATAATATTAGTATAGATTGGATTTACGTATATTTTTTTTAAGTTACTGACACTTGTCTTTTGTATTAGAGTGCGGATTTTGGATTAGGAATAGAAACTACGCCTAAAAATCTATACATTAAGGTATAAAGTGTGTCTATTTACGGTGACTTAATTTTTTGCTTATCACAGTATTATTGTAGTAACCCTAAGAGCGGTTCTGTGATGGATGTTTATTTTTTTTGGCTGATAAAATTGGTTACGAAATCAATGTTTCACTAAACAAGAAAATACTAGTATTTATCGTAACCGAAGAAAATTTGATACCAAAACAATCTAAACTAAATAAGCCTAACAAAGTTATTCTTTAGATTACCAATGTATATGAGATTTTCACAAACGTTTTTGCACCTTTATTATCGACAGTTGACTTGAAATCGAATGGAGCTATTTGCAATTTTTGTATAACCTAACGCTCTGTTGACTGTACAATAACGTACTGAGAACGACATTGTATTTATTGCCTTGTGCTCCAATAGATTTGGATGTTTGTTTACTCACTATAACTGGATCGTTGATGCGTGCGCTCAAACTATGCACGTCTTGACTCTATAAAGAGTACAAGGTGGCTTTACTATTTATATACAAATGTTTACATGCCTGCACAGTGACGAATCGTTTGTTTGTGCGTCTCGTTTGTGTGTTGTGTAACCGGCCGATGTGTATCTATTGTTTACGCCCTGAAGGGCTACATTAGGTACATAGACGGGTTGGTTCTATTCATATTAGAAGTAAATGAGTATAAATTAAATAAATATTAGATTAGAACTCTTCATTAAACACCACATACAAAACATTATACACGAATATTAATATTACAGTGTAACAGTGT